GAAATCGCCATACTGTTTTCCAAAGAGTATGCATTAGTTTGCATTCCCGCCATCAGTGTTTAAGAGTTCCCTTTTTTCCGCGTCCTTGTCCAGCGTCTGTTGTTGTTTGTTTTATTAGTGATAACCATTCTTACTGGGGTTAGGTGGTAACTCATTTGGGGTTTGATTTGCATTTCTCTGATGATGAGTGAGGCTGAGCACTTTTTCATGTGTCTGTTGGCTGCTCATATGTCTTCTTTTGAGGGGTGTCTATTCATGTCTTTTGCCCACTTTTTAATGGGGCTGTTTGGTTTTTTTTTCTTTCAACGTGTTTGTGTTCCTTGTAGATCCCGGATGTTAGGCCTTTGTCAGATATACAGTTGGCAAATATTTTGCTCCCATTCTGTGGGCTGCCTCCCCGCTTTCTTGATGGTTTCTTTTGCTTTGCAGAAGTTTTTCAGTTTGATGAGGTCTGTCATATCTCTTATGGCATGGGCACTTGGGGCTTTGATCAGGAATTGGTTGCCGGTTCCAATTTCCATAAAGGTATCTCCTGCATTTTCTAAGGTTCTTATAGTTTGCGGTTTTACATTTAGGTCTTTCATCTATTTAGAGTTAATTTTTGTCTATGTTAATAGATAGGGGTCTTGTTTCAATCTTCTGCATGTCATCAGCCAGTTTTCCAGCACCATTTACTGAATAGGTACTCCTCTCCCCAGTGGTTGTTGGTGGAGGCTTTGTCAAAGATGAGCTGGTTGAGAAATTGAGGCTTTGCTTCTGGAATCTCTATCCTGTTCCATTGGCCTTTATGCCTGTTCTTGTTTCAATACCAGTCTGTTTTGTTTATTGTAAATATATAGTAAAGTTTGAAGTCTGGAATTGTGATGCCTCCTGCTTTTTTCTTTTGCTAAGGAGTGTTTTGGCTATTCATAGTCATTTGTGTTTCCATATGAATTTCTGTATTGCAATTTCCAGGTCTGAGAAGAATGATGTTGGTCATTTAATGGATATTGCATTGAACCTGTAGATATCCTTTGGTAGAATGGACATCATAACAATGTTGATTCTTCCTTTCCATAAGCATGGAATAGTTTTCCACTTGTTTACGTCTTCTTGGATTTCTTTGAGCAGTGTTTTGTAGTTTTCATTGTAAAGTTCTTTCACATCTCTGGTTAGGAAGATGCTGAGGTATTTCATTTTTTGTGTGTGTGACTACTGTGAATGAGATTGTACTTTTTATTTGGTTCTCTGCCTGCCTGTTGTTGGTGTATAAGAATGAGACTGTCTTTTGCACATTTATTTTGTATCCCAAGACTTTGCCAAAGTCCTTTATCAGAGAAAGCGGATTTTTGACAGTTTCTCTTGTGGTTTTGAGGTATAGGATCATATCATCAGCAAAGAGGGATAACTTAACTTTCTCTTTTCCCATTTGGATACCCCTGATTTCCTTCTCTTGTCTAATTGTTCTAGCTAGGACTTCCAACACAATGTGGAACAAGAGGAGTTAGAGTGGACAGCCTTGTCTTGTTCCGGTTTTCAGGGGAAATGGTTCCAGTTTCTGTTCGTTTAGTAATATGCTGGCTGTTTATCACAGATGGTGCTTACTATTTTGAGGTGTGTTCCTTCTATGCCTAGGTGTTTGAGGGTTTTTATCAGGAAGGAATGCTGAATTTTATCAAAAGCTTTTTCTACATCTAAAAATATAATCACGTGGCTCCTGTTTTTACATCTGTTGATGTATTTAATGACATTTACGGTCTTGTGGATGTTGAACCAGCCCTGCATCCTGGGGAGGAAGCCTACTTGGTCATGGTGGATGATTTATGAGATGTGATGCTGAATCCAATTTGCTAGAATCTTGTTGATAATTTTTGCATCTGTGTTCATTAGGGATATTGGCCTGCAGTTCTCTTTTTTTGTTGAATATTTACCCTGTTTGGGTATCAGTGTGATTTTAGCTTCATAAAATGATTTGGGGGAGAATTCTATCTTTCTCAATTGCCTGGAATACTTTCAAAAGGGTTGGTACAGCTCCTCCTTGTACATTTTACAGAATTCCACCGGATAACTGTCTGGTCCAGGGCTTTTTTTTTTTTTTGAAGGCAGTTTTCTTATGAGGGAGTCAATTTCCTGGGTTATGACTGGTCTGTTTAGTGTCTCAGTGTCTTCTTGTTTCAACCTTGGGCAGTTGTATTGTACCAGAAGGTCCTCCATTTCATTTAGGTTATCAGGTTTGTTTCCACAGATGTGTGCATAGTAATCGCTGATAATCTTCTGTTTTTCTTTGGGGTTGGTTATGATTTGATCTTTTGCATTTCTGATTAAGTTTATCTGGGCTTTTCTCTCTTTTTCTTTGTCCTTCTGGCTAGGGGCCTTTAATCTTGTTAATTCTTTCAAAGAAGCAGTTTTTGTTTCATTGATTTTTTTCTGTGACATTTTTGTCTTCTATGTCCAATATTTGGGCTTTTACTTTGGTGTCCTGGATTCTTCTGCTAAAATTAGGGCTTTGGTGGTCTTGTCTTTCCAGCTACCGTAGGTGATTTGTGATATAGTTTTGTTTTTTTTTTAGATTGTCAAGCTTGACTAGGACCTTTAATTTTTTTTAATTGTTTTTTGTTTATTTTAAAGATGTGGGGTACAATTCAGGGTTCGGTATACAAATGTTCATTATGCATGTACCCTCCTTGATGAGCTATGCCCAATTTTAATCAGGAAGTGCGATGCCACCTATTTTGTTTTGCTTTCTTAGTGTTGCTTTAGATATCCAGGTTTTCTTTTTTTTTTTTTTTTGGAGATGGAGTCTTACTCTATCACCCTGCTGGGCTCAGGCCATCCTTCCACCTCATCCTTCAAAGTGGCCGGAACTACAGGCGTGCACTACCACGTCCGGCTAATTATTTATTTATTTAGTGTAGAGATGAGGTCTCACCAAGTTACCCAGGCTGTTCTTGAACCTATAGGCTCAAGCAGTTCTCTCACTTCGGCCTCCCAGAGTGCTGGGATTACAGTCTCAAGCCACTGCGTCTGGCCAATATCCAGGTTTTATTGTTGTTCCATACAAATTTTAGGATTTTTTTTCTAATTTGTCATTGGAATTTTGATAAGGATTGTATCCAATCAGTATATATCAGTATTATATATATATGGAGAATGAGAGAGAGAGGATGAAACACTGGTTAGCACAGGTGGAAGAGGGAAAGGATATGGGGAAATGTAGATCAAGGATGCAAAATAGCAGATATGTAGAATGAACAGGACTGACATCTACTGTTCAACATGAAAAGTAAAGTTAATAAAATTGATTGTATTGGTTTTCTTTTAAAATAAGTAGATGTCATCTGCTCTTGTCACAGAAAGGAGCCACGTGAGATGATAGAGGTTACTCTGCTTCACTATAGTAACCATTGTGCTATCTCTCTATATACATATTTTGCTGGGTGTCTATATATATCCCATTACATCATGTTATGAGAGTCAAATATACACAATAAAATTTATTATTTTTTTTAAATGTCATTAATATCATCACACTACACCCCACTGCGAGAAATCGTGATAGAACAAACCCAATAAAACTCCACAATTACTTCCTGGAAAATAAAGATTGAATTAGAAAAATTGAAATGCTTCTCATAATGTACCTTCACTAAAGCAATTTTTGATTAAATGTTTTTATTTTATTAAGTGATTTTTAAAATTCAATTTATGGGAAATACCCACCATTTAACCTACTTAGCAGAGTCACTCTTCATTGCCAAACCAGTCAATTAAAACTCTTTACCTGAAAAAGGCTGACTTCATTTATTAGTTCAAACAAGCACGATCATACGAATTCAAGAAATAATATAAATACACTGAAAAATAAGTTCTGCAATACGATTTTAAAAGCTAGTTTTCTGGAAACAGCTTTATAAATTTAAAGTTCTGTATATTTGAGATAATTAATCTGCATTTTAAACTAGGAAATGTAAAAAAAACTTTATGTGTTTCTCACTGATTTACAATAGTTCGATGTATTGCACTTCCATAATTATAAGTTATTTATGAAATGAAGAATATGATAAAAAGAAAAGTTTTTCTCTGGTAAATGTGCATGTCTACATGTATAAGTCAAACTCCAGTGATTTCCGTTAGTATGCAACTAAATAAAAATCACAAATAGCAGAAATCAATTTCATTAATTTCAGAACAGTAGTGTAATGCTGAAACTGGTTATTCCAGTATCTGACTTAAATTTTATTGTTTTGGTAATTAGATATAGGGAATACTATACATTCTATAAGCCGACATAAAATAAAGGTTGGCTTAAAATTGCAATAAATATTTCACAATGTGATATAATTGAATAGCTGTTGAGTAACGGAACTGAATACTATCTTAAACCTAGACGATATTGTGTAAGTTTTTTTATCTGTGGGTTTCAGCCAGGGTAACTAAAAAAATATTGGTATTCCTGAAAATCATTTTATTTCATTTAAAAATAATCTGTTGCTCACCTGCACTGCTTTGGTGAGATGAATGTATTTTCTACTTGAAGACAAATTCTAAGAATGATTATTGAGAATTCACCTTTTTTCTCTCTCTCTCTAGACTGTCACGCAACAGCAATATGTTCTTTGACAGAATTAATGCAAAATTCCCGACACTTTTCAGCCCACCGTATACAAATGTTCAATATATGAACAATCTAACATTTTTAATGTCATGGTTCTTCCTTAGAAGAAGACCTAAATAAATAAATAAAATGTTAAAGTGGTTGTGTGGTAACTTGATTAATTGTTTGTTTGGAGCCCTGGAATGTCTTTAACCGCAGGGTAATGAAACATAACGAGATGCTTGAGAAGTAATCTGTCTTTTCTAAGGTAAAAGAGAGGTTGGTGGAAAGAGGTGAGTAAAGAAACCTAGTTGATACTGTGAAGAGTGTGTGTGGATTTAAGGATCTAAAATTCTAGCCATTTCCTTTTTGTTTGCTGGGTAGAGCCACAAGATTCAAAAAACCCATTGATGTCTTTCTTTTGCAGCTGTCGTGAATGCCATTCCTGTGCCAACCCTAGAAAGTGCCCAGTACCCTGGAATCCTCCCGTCTCCCACCTGTGGATATCCCCACCCGCAGTTCACGCTCCGGCCTGTGCCGTTTCCAACACTGTCAGTGGACCGAGGTTTTGGAGCAGGAAGAAGTCAGTGTAATGCATTTTCTTTTACTTTTTAATAAGAACAAGTGAAGAATAGCAAAGACACCAATGTGTAGCATTTTGACCTTTTCATCCCTGGGAGAGATGGATTTACCTGTGACCTTGGTACTGAATTTCCATTTCTAACATAGTCCTTCGGATTCAAGCCCATATGCTTGCAGGCTAATTCTCCAGGGGGCTTTCCACAGCATACTTCCCTGCCAATATAGGGGGACGTGGTGGTGAACAACAATGAAGTGTTTCCATAAAGCAGTGATGTGGTGGGTACTTGAAAGTAACATGTCCTGTTAACCAGACAGTTAATAATCAAGTGATGTCTTCCAACATATTCTTATTTAGTATCTGTTGGTCACAGCTCATCAATTCTTGATGAACCAACACTTTCATGAGTGCATAGATCTTTAATCAGTTAAGTGATACCTTTCCAGGTTTAAAAATTAATTATTGGGAAAAAAAGATTTTCAGAGAATTATTTCACGTATTTGAAGAAAAGTAGGAATGGAAGGAGACTCTCAAGCTATTATATACACCCTGGCGATTTCTCCTGTGCCATTTGACTTTTTTTCTTTGAGCACAGCATTTTTAAATCGATTTTATGGCTTTCATCTCTTAGTTAAGAACAGGTGACTCAGCAGCTCATGTGAGATAGGATGTTTTGTAATAGATATGATGGTAGCAGTAATAAAATATATTTGTGAGCTAAGGTATATTTTTCCAACCCAATGGGGACAGCTCTAAGAAATCATAAATTGTCTAGCTGTAGCAAGGTTAGAATTAAAAGGCATCAAAGATCTGCCAAGGGAGAATTAGATTTATTTTCCTGTTTCTCACTGCACATCGTATCCACAGAATAGAGTTGTGTGCAAAATCTTGAGGAAGAATAGTCCCTCAAACTACATTGAAGGGAATTAAATGAGAAAGATGCAGAAAGTCTAACAAGCAAAAATTTCCAAATCCCAACACAACTAAAAATGTGATTCCAGTCAAATAATTAAAAATGCACAAGTCCCTTCTACGCTTTTGAAATGAACTTTTCCCAACACAAAGGAGAAGATTTTACCCTTAGTTTTGTATTCCTCTCATTGGTTTGCTGTCTACTATATTCTTTTGATTTCATCTGTATTCCTGACTTTAAAAGGAAGCATGAAAAGGATGTGAAGAATGACCTTTATTTTATCTGATCCCTCTGTCACGACTAATACAGTCCAGAGTTGATTACTTTTTTAATATAATTAACTATCTTTACTCATGGTGTGCTTCTCATTTCCTTTCATTTTGTAAAGGCATAATCACCTCCTGAAAATGTTTTCATTGAGGTCCAACATTCCATCTTTCTCTTTTTTTCTCTTGAGTTGATGAAGCAGGTGAAACTTTCTCTTGTTGAATCATGGGGGACATGATTCGAAAATTTAAAGTTCAATGAAAACAAATAAAGGAAACTAGCGAGTATAATATTTGTCTTTATATGTGGTTAAAAGATAGATATTTACTCTGATATATAACTCTGGTGCCTTTGAGAGTGAGGGTTCTGTGTGTACATGGGAGCTGAAGTCTATGGGAAAGATCAGCACTTGTTGCTCAGTTTTGTTGTGAACCTCAAATACCTCTAAAAAATAAGGTCTCGTAGAAATTAACAAATTAGACTGGGGGCGGGGGCTCATGTCTGTCATCCCAGCACTTTGGGAGCCAAAGCAGGAATATTGCTTGAGCCCAGGAGTTCAAGACCAACTTGGACAATGTAGTGAGACCTTGTCTCTACACAAAAATCAGAAAAATAGCTGGGCATGATGTTATGTGCCTGTTGTCACATCTACTTGGGAGGCTGAGGACCAAGGATTGCTTGAATCCAGGAGGTTAAGACCGTGGTGAGCCATAACCATGAGACTGCAATCCAGCCTGGGTGACAAAGTAAGATCCTAACTAAAAATAATAATAATAATAATAAATTAATGAAAACATTTAGTCATTTTGTTTCTGGTAGATACTTTTGTTTTGATGATTTTTTAAAGTAATGATCATAATATAAAGGTAATTATATGATTGTGATATAATATAAACATAAAATATATAATAAAGCTATCATATAAATTTATATAAATAAAAGATTCTTAACAAAACGCTCAGTAATTTTTGAACTTTATTGGAAATCACAAAACAGTACATTCTACTTCTGACCAAGATTTTGAGATTTTTAAAATACGTATTCAGTCATTCATCAAGTGTTTTTTGAAGAAAGCTGTGTGAAATGCAAAAGGAATAGGATCTAATATGTGCTGCAAGTGATTGCTTTAAAAAGAAAAAATAAATAAGCACCCTCTTTTCTAGGAAACTAAAAATTCTCTAAATCACTGTCAGAAACAGTTAACTTCTAGCCATCTAGTATTGGTTTCTAAATGCCTTAGAGAACACTAAACATCTCTATTCTTTCTCAAGTGGAAAACATTTCATGACTCTAGGTAGAGACATCTTATTAGTCACCTTGAGAAATAGAGAAAGGCTCACGTAGGAAAAGAAAAGAAGTTGACTTTGCCAAGCCTGGAGATGCTCCTTCCTCCAAAGTTATCTGAAAGACCTTTAAGTTTTAAAATAAGTGAGTCCTTTTCTGCTTCAGGGACACCAATAAGGCGTCAGTTTGGAATTAAAACCACACTGAGATATCACCCAACTGCAGTCAGGATGGCCATCATCAATAACTCAAAAAACAAAGCATGCTAGAAAGGATGTGGGGAAAAGGGAACACTGTTGGTGGGACTGTAAACTAGTACAACCTCCGTGAAAAAGTTTAACAATTCCTAAAAGATCTAAAACTTTACCTTCCTTATGACCCAGCGATCCCCCTTCTGGGAGTACGCCCAGAGAACTTCAAATCATTCTATACAAAAGATACTTGCACACTCATGATTATCGTAGCATCATTCACAATAGCAAAAACACAGAACCCACCATGCTACCCATCAAAAATGAACTGGATTTAAAAAGTGTGGTACACTTACACAATGGAATCATTGCACAGCCATAAAGAAAGACAAAAGTATGGACTTTGCAGCAACTTGGATGGATTTAGAGTCTTTACTACTCAGTGATCTGTCACAGAAGCAAAGAACTGAGTATGACATGTTCTTATTCAACAGTGGACCCTGAATATGTGTCATAATACTATAAGAAAGGGATTGACAGTAGTGGGAAACTGCCAGAGGAGAGTGTGGAGTGCACTTACCTTTAATAAGGGTACCTGATCTCAAACCGGGTGAAGTAGGGACCAAAGGGATGTCAAAACTTTATCTGTACAATGACCACTGGTATACCTAATTCTGAATTGCACCCCACATCTTTAAAATAAAATAAAACATTTTTAAAAGAAATAAAATGAGTCATTAAAGTCCTGCCCAAAGTTCTCCTGCCTTCTGAAGGTACACATGAACCTGAATCCCTCGCTGACCGTAAGAAAGGAAAGATACAGCAAGTGACTTTTATATTACCCACATTTTCTGGCCTATATAAAGATTTACGTAGTTGTGGTGGACATATATTTCTCTTTTTACTAAGTAACTGCGGTTCTGCTCTTAGCCTCAATAGGCAAATTAGCTGTTGCTGGGAAACAGTTGCATTTGAAAATTTCAACCAGCAGGTAGTGGTGGAGCTCATGTCTACAAATCGCTACAGAATTGTGCCCGTGTTTTCCCCTTTGGAACAGGGAGGTGGCGGAGTAGGTTCAGCGATTTCCACTCTTCCTCTTGGCTCTCACACTGTCTTAGCTACTGGAAAGATCCATCTACTTCATACATGCTATGGATCTGCCCCAGTTCCTCCTTAAATTGGAAATCAACTAACAAACAGAACTTGACCTAAATAAAATCAGAAGTGCAAGCGAGCGCATGGGTTATTCTCCGCATCTTTGCAAAACTCTACACTGTGAGGAACTGGGACGACTCAGAAATGTTGCAGGACACCATTCTTCTGAGATGAATGTGTGCATTGGGTTTCCAGAGCTGTTCACGTCTCGAAGTCTTTGCTTAGAGTTACTGGCATGCTGTATTTCTCTACAATATTGCAGTTTTAGATAGAAAAAAAATCCTTATTTCCATCTTTGCCATATTTTTGCCAGTTACTCATTAGAAATTATTTATGCGTATTGACATTAATTATTATGAAGTGCCTTGAGATTCGACTCTTCTGTAATTGTGCACTATTTGTACAATGACTTCTGATTAGTTCATCATTGGAAAACGCACTTGTCAGCACGTATTTGGTTCTCACTCTACACTCTGAGTCACAGGGATGCATGCACATTGTGGGGAAAAAAGGTTGTCTTTGCTGTCAGAGCACTTAGCACAGCTAAATGTCGTGTCGCAGAGCCAGTTGGTTTCATATAGGTCAAATGGGCTCATCTGAAATGAGAGCATTTCGCTGGTGGAGTAGCTGCTATTGTGTTTGTCTAAAGGTTTTTTTTTTCCTGCTGTAAATGTCAACCAGTTCTGAAAAGCTTTATTTTGCTACACTTAGAATGTAAGAGTTATGAATTATCTATGGAAACCTTATGCCTGTCCATTTGTATTCATTTTTGAACCCAGTGAAACAACCCCTTATGGGTTAGAGATTTCTTCAGTTCTAAGGTCGGGCCCTCCCACTGTCACCCAGGGAATCAGGTGCTGTTCTTTTCTCCCTGTGTGAGACTAAGGATAGATTTCACTCAAGGGCTGGCCCATCTGTATCAAGCTAACTTTACTCTCCTCAACTTCAAACGCCACAGCATGGTGTTTTCAACAGGGATTATGGTGGCCAGTTGGAATTCTGGGAATGGAGGGTGAGGCATGCAGCCAATCTGTGTTTTTAGCGATGCTGATAAGGAAGATGCCTTTAAAGAGAGTAGGATTGGGAGTGGACCCTAAATCTCAGCGACATCATCAGAATTCATGTGAAATAGGAAGTTTTTCAAAACGGGTTGGATTCCAAGAGACTAAAAATTGTATGTCAGTTTTATCAAACATGTGATTACTGTAATATTTTAATGTAGATTTATTTTCTTTCATAAACGCAGAAGAGATAGAAAAGGCAAAAAAATGAAGGAGAGAACAAAGAAAGGGAAGTAAGCCATCACAAACACATTATTGTTTCTTTAATGGCAAAAGTTTTTAAAATATAATGTAAGTTAAATGCAATTCATCTTCCCTAGACAGAATTACCTGGGGCAGATTTCTAAGGAAAATTGTGAAATTTCTTTCCCTGGATGGATATTTTTCATGTGATGCTATGGACCCTTGAATAAAAGCCAGTCCATTGGAGATAAAAAGGGAACAGAGAGAGACAGTCTCGGGACCCTCATATGTGAAACACAGGGCAACAGGGAGTCCTTTACTATAGGAAGGACTCCCAAGTATTTTAAATTCCCCAGAATTTCCCTCATGACATTTTAAACCCCTTGTGATGAATAATTTTCTTCATTCCAAGGATTACCTGGAAAGCACTTTCTGAAAGAGCCTGTTTTTTCCCTTCTAAGCTATTTCAGAAACCTAACACTTCACACCTATCCTTTGAGATCCATGGCTTGATAAAAGTGGTGGCTTGATTAAGGCAGACCTTCTTACAGGAACAAAGAGTGAGTACAGGACTTGTGCCAGCTCTCTTGGATTGGTGGCACAAAGGTGCCCAAGATTGGGTATTGGCTAAATAATCAACTCTGATTTGAACCATTGACCATTGGTCTTTTCTTCATTAGCCTAAATACAAGTCCAAAGCAAAACCTGTTTAGTCTGCATTGTCTCTAAAGCTACAATCTCAATAATCTCATTATATAACCTTGAGCGAATACAAGCGAGCAAGTGTTTCTTCTCTCCCTTTTACAGTCGTATGCACTAGGAAGCGTCTCACAGCACCTACCAGAAGCTTCCATACCATGGGCTTGTAGCTGAGAACCGACATCACCAAGGATTTGTCTTAATGGTTTCCTTGCTGCCCTTCACCTTAACTTTGAGACTGTGCATTCATTTGCCCTTCTCCTTCTTCTTTGATAAGATTTTCTAGACTGGAAATAAGGCATTCCTGTTCAAACTCCTCTTGAGTCTGAATCCTCGCCAGTTTTTTGCCTTGATGGCATGTCCCTTGTGTGAAGACGTCTTGATCAAGAGTGTGCCTGATTGTGTCTCTGGTTGCCATATGGTTGCACCCTTGTATCTTCCCACCTTTATCTCTGAATGGAAAAAACCTGGAGGCTGGTCAATGATCCAGAAAACCTCTAACCCCTTCTGGAGAAAGAATCATGAGGACAGATAACCTCTGAAGACACATTTCACTCTGTACAACCCTAATGTTATGCCTATGCCCTTTGTATCTTTACTGTCTATCAGATTTATCAGATTCCCCTCCTGCCCTTTGCTCACCTCACTGAGTTCCCAGAGAGCAGTCTCCAAAGTATCTCACTAGTTATCTTGAAATATTTGCTGGTTAACAATTCTCTTTCAAAGATAAGATATGATCTTCTATCACGGTGTTTTTCCCCAAGGTACTCAACAGAACTTTCTTAAGAAATAATTCACCACCAATATCCTTATTGTATTAACACTTACACCTACTCTGCAACTTGTTTCACTTGTGATTTAACCTGGACCTGTTGACTTTGAAAATGAATGAATAATTTAATTTCAGTCACAGTCTTTTTAGCAAGAGAAGCTGCCTTGAAAATATTTTAGTCTGACTCAGTTGTGTTCTCTGGGGGAGAAAATGATGTCTTTCCATATACAAAGCTGTCCAAATGCCCATAGGCTGGCACGGTAACGATGCAGAACCTCTTCGACTCTAATAATCTGCCTGCAAATTACAAGGTTTACTACCTGAGAGGAAAAACTGCAATTCTGCATTCAGGCAACTTGTGCCAGCACAGTCATCTCTCATATAACGTTCTAGCTAGATGTGCCTCTATTTTGTTATGGAAGATGATGATTGTGGTTATTATTTGCGTCATTTTATTAGCCATGCCTCTGAGCACCCTGTAAGTGTGATTTGTTTGACAGTTGACATGGCATGTTTAAATCACAGAAAAATTGGCATATTGGCTGGTAGATAATAACGCAGCTGTAACAGCGTTTGGTACATTGAATTTCACTGACATCGCTACTTATGAACAGAGAAATAACTTCTTTTTTTTTTGCATTTTCACTTTTGATTAGAGGGCCCATGTCAGGCAATATAGTCAATGCTGGATGTGTTTTACAACTCTTCCTCAAAGATAAGTCTCTGTCCTGCAGGATCTATTTCTACCGTTTGGAAAGAATATGCTATTCCATTCCATAAATGTATGAGAGTAGAGGAATGAGAATATTCACAACTTGGAGAAGAGATTGGCCAGACGCTGTCTTATCTCTCTGAACCGATCCAGGGGCCCTCCAGGGACTTGGGGAAAACAAACTCTGTCCTGGAATAACGAATGGTTTTTCCTTCCTCCACAGCAGCAGCGAGTGAAGGACCAACCACCCAACAACCGCCCATGCTGCCGCCATCTCAGCCTGAGCATTCCAGCAGCGAGGAGGCCCCAAGCAGAACCATCCCCACGGCCTGCGTTCGACCGACTCACCCGCTCCGCAGCTTTGCTAACCCTCTGCTACCTCCGCCCATGAGTGCAATAGAACCGAAAGTCCCTTACACACCACTTTTGTCTCAGCCAGGTAAAAGGATCCCTGTGTCCACATTGAAAGTCATTGTTTAATGACTGGCAGCTCTATTTAAGTGCAAGAGGACATCTGAGAAGGCCTGGATGTAACAGACCTTCTCCGTGTTGATGATGTGTCCAGGGTGCTCATTCTTGTTACTGCAGCTCTTGTATCGCAGCTTTTAATTTTCTGCCTTACGAGCAACTGACTGGTTTGGTTGTGGGTTCTTTTTATTCCTTTGGAAAGCTGTCCATGAATCCTGGATGCCAGTCCATCGTTTTTAGTATGTGCTGTAAGTAAGTCTGCTAGGGAATACTGGAAACATTTCTGGTTTTCTGATTCTTCGTTCTGCCACATGAATCCTAGGATTTAAAGCTAGACTCCAAGCTAGACTTAGCGTTACAGAAATTGCAAAAGCACTTCTTAGAGAAATACACAATTCTGCTTTTTTGACTTTCAATAATCATCTCCTAGGAGTTCTTACTTATTTCAGACTATTAGGATCAGAAAGGAGTGTCAGAACCAACTTTGAGTCCAACTTCTTAATTTTAGGATTGAAGAAACAAAATTCAAATAAAAAGAAAGTCGCATATCTATGATGCCTTTCTAAGAAAACCAAAGGGCAGGGATGAGAATTAGTGCCCTGGCTCATAATGCAGTGCTAATTTTATTACTTCAGCTAGTATCTGAAGGGGCTGTGCCGGAAATTCTTTTGTGTTCGTTAGGGATTGGGGAGGGAGGGAGAAAAGGAAGGAGAGACACAGAGTCAGACTTAAAAGCAGAGAAAAGAAGCAGCAGTGGAAGGAGGAAGAGGAAGAGGAAGAGGAAGAAGAAACAGAATGAATGATAGGTCAATAGATGAGTAGACAAACAGAGGTAAAGAAATGCATAGTGCCATGGCTAGGTGCAGTGGCTCACGCCTATAATCCCAGCACTTTGGGAAACGGAGGTGAGAGGATTGCCTGAGCCCCCGGGTTTGTGACCAGCCTGGGCAACATGGAGCCCTCATCTCTAAAAAAAAAAACTAAACTAAAAGAAATGTGTAGTGCTTCAAAATCATTTGAAATACTAGAATGATTCTAAATAACCTCAATATATCAGGCATAAGATAGGAAAGTTTCATGGTCCCAGGTAACCAGAGGTGGCATCTTAAACCCAGGCAGCTGGGCTGGACTTATCTGCCTTGTGCAAACACACTGGAGGAATTCCCTGTTACTCAGATCCATGCCAACAGAAGTCTCCTTCATTGCATTGGAACACAAGCCTCATGATGACTGTAAACACTGGGGGGAAAAAAAGGAAGATTGCCTATGAAGTGTGAATATTAAGGATATGTCTTGTCCCTGGTGTCACAGTAGTTGACCTGTGTGCATCACCCCTGATGTTCTCAGCACTTGTGTGGTATGCGTTGTGAATGCTCAGCTCCCAGCCCCTGGGAATGAGTTACAGCACCGAGGCAGGGGTATTTCACTGCCTGGGGTGTATGCTGCACAAGGGGGTCTTCCCTGACACGTAGGCTCAGCACAACTCTGAGTTTCTGCCTGCAAAGCCCACACTAGGATCCACAGCAAGTTTGTAGTACCCCAACTCCTTCTCCAGCCTCACACACACACACACACACACACACACACACACACACACACACACACACACACATTACAGGGAGGATGTGCTACTTTGTGTCACCCCCAGACTACGAGGTCGCCGCTAATTGAGACAGACAATTGAAAGCAAAAGCATTCATCGAATGCAATTCCTGTGCCAAGAGTGTGCTGCCTGATGACTCCTGGTTGCACCCATGTGGCCATTGCAATCCCAACCAAGGAAAAGAATAGACCTTGGAGGACACTGGTATTCAGGACAGGTTAACTGCAATTGCTAACAATAGCTAGCCTTTAATGAATGTGTCTATAGGAGAGGCATGCTTCTGAAGAATTATAACATCTCATGAGATGCTCAAAACAACTTTTTGAGGCACCTGCTGGTCATAACCCTTTTTTATGGATAAGAAAACTGAGGCAGATAATTTAAGTAGCTTCCTGAAGTCTTCATAGCTAGTAAGCAGTGTTTGTTTTCCCTACTCTTTTTTGAGTTGAGATCTTTCTGAACTCAAATGTAGAAACTCATTTTGCTTCTTAGTTTATGTCTAACTTAATCAATGTCAAAAACAAAGAATAATAAGGAGAATATGAATTAAATTACTCCACAATTGATACAAAGAATATAAAGAGAAATATCTGAAATAGTCCTAAATTGAAGAATGCCATTGCCACAAAAATATTTCTTGCCACTCACATTTTAATGAGAAGAGCTAAGAAGCTTAACTTTTTTATACTAAAGAAGACAAATTTTGTGGCATTAAAAAAACTGAAGTGCCATTGTAGCACTTTATACTGTTAACTATTCTCTCTGCTTGTAAGTAAAAACTAGTAAAAAAGAAAAACTATGTTATGTGGAGAAAAACAACTGAGATGATATTCTGAAGGCTATTTTAAATGAAAACTTTGCTGCAGCAATGATGTTTAGTTTGGTACACAAGGTTTGGAAATCAGCCTATGCCCCGAAGCTCTACAATAACAAAATGATGAAAAAGAACTTGACGTTTAGAAGGAACATCTGAAAATGGACAGAAAAGAGAATTGGCCATTTTTTTTACTAGTTATTTTTTTCCTAATTACATTATTACCAAAGCTGCCATAAATAAAATCTGACACGATGTAGCATAAATGAGTTGATTATGTCCTTCAAAGGAGGGAAATAGAGTCCGTTGTGTTGTTTCTGTACCTATTCTACCAAATAATAGGCATATCTGAAGAACCACTCTCTGATCTAATGTCAAGCGGGCAAAATCTCATTTCCTTTTATTTTCAGTGCACATTGAAGAGCTTTCTTTTGTTTTACTACTGTTCTTGTTTTTATTTGAACTGGTTCTCGCAAGCTTTCTCTTCTTTCATGTTTTCCCATATCTCTGGCTTGAGTTTTGGGGTTGATTTTATATTTTTCACAGCTCCCTTTTAAATGCCACCCTCCTCAACTCAACTTGAGCCCTAGCCCACCCTCACTGTGGAAGTATTAAATGCCTTTCCCTTTCATGTTTCTCTACTGCTGTCTCCCTGTGATTTCTGTTCATTTCATAATGTCTTACCTCATGATTTTCAAATAAGTTATCCCTACATTGTTTCTGACATATGGTAAATAGCGTGCTTTTAAAAGGGGCTGATGTTTACTTTTCCTAATAGAAAAAGAAAATTAGCAGACTGACAAATGTATTAGCTGTGACATTAACTACATGCTTCTTAGCCTAAAAGATGAAATACTTAGAGCTTTCCACAAGTTTTAATTCTAAGAAAATCATTACTTTAGTCAAACTGATTGATGAAGCAAAGTCATTCTCTTGTCGGCTTTAAAAAAAATGCCTCACATAATTTTATTCTGGATTTCACAAGAAAGGGCTATGTAATTAGTAATGAATTTATCTTTACTTACTGCAATAATTACTTTAGAATATGGTAATGTGAGGCATTGCTCTAATTTTTAAGAATCCTACTAAATGAGAAACGTCTTCTACTTTGAAAGTTTAAAGATTAGGATCCATTTAAACGCTCTCTCCCCTTCTCATGTTCCCGTGTGTGGATTTTCATGTGCAGCATTAAAGGTGTGTGCCTTAGTTGACCTCCCAATAAGGCACGCAACATGATGTTTACAGCAGTTTCATATGAGTTGTAGGGTCACTCACAGGATGCACTAACGATTGCCATGGGTTTGCAGTATTTCTGTAGTGAGTGGTAATTAGAAAGCCATTCAGTTGTCATAATGACTGAAATTCTGTCTATCCAGAAACAGATTCATTCCCTCATTTTTTTTTTAAATTCCTCCTGCCATGTTAAAATTTTAACTTACTAGACTCGGGGGTATTTGTGGTGTTTCTTACAATTTCATCATCACCCTTATAAAAAAGTGATTACTTTTTCAATGCTTTATCTATAAACATGCGTAACTCTGTGTTTTTCCACATTTCATGAAGGCTGCAGTCATTACACTTTGCAAATCACAAATGTAGATATATAACAGTGATCTGGCTTAGTCCTCTTTCAGGCTAAAGAGAAAATGTTTGATAGAGTGTTGGGCTTATTGCATTATAGATCCGACATAAATTCTACAAAGGGCCAAGATAGGGTGTGTGTGTGTGTGTGTATGTGTGTGTGTGTGTGTGTGTGTGTGTGTGTTTCTTCACTAGTTAAAATTCCTTTTAGCTGTGAAATGATCAGCTGCACTTTAAATGAACCTTGGGTTAGAAGACCATTTGTCTTCTAGGGCTGCAATTCCAAAGGGAAAGAAAATGTGACCTCTTAGACAATGACTTTTATATCGTAGCACACTTTTATAACATTAGCCCCCTGGAGCTCATGCAACTTTATAGAGTTACATAAGTACTACATTTCCCTCCATTTACACATTGCGTTTCTGCACGTATATATTTATAAAAGCAAAAACCCAGAACATTCTGATCTTTTCCATCTCCGAGGGATCAATACGTCAGCGGACATGACAAGACCAAAGCTCACTTCATTGTACTGCGAAATTGAGTTTGATTTCCCCCCTGCAAATTGTGGCATGTGCTTCAATTTGTCTGAGGATTGAGGACAAGGAGTGGGTGGAGGTAGCTGACAGTGGACAGAAAAGGCATTTGATTTATACTTTATGGATATTTGGGCAATCATGTATTCCTGCTGTAACCTGATCTTTTTGGCAGGCCTTATTTCAGTAAATCCGCTGAAATAAACTGCCAATAAATTACTATAATACATTAATACAATTTCTTTCCCTGAGCCACTTGTAGACCACATTTGGGGATATTCATCAAGGATACCACATGCATGTTCCACTCCGCTAAATCAGCCACAGGCAGAGGTCATAGGAGATCAGCCATCCTTCAGCTGGTGACACAGGAGGGTCCTTTGTAAGGCCAGTCAGATCACATACATCACTGGCACAGCTAAGTAGGAGAGATGTGT